TATAAGAAAAACAAGTATCTTAGACATAAAGTATTCAATCATTTAAATTTAAAACTCAGTAGATGATATCCAGATAGGATTAGAAACAGTATGCAATAATTCACCCATAGCATAGCATGCACAAGACCCCAGGTTCGATCCAGGAAGAAAAGAATGGAGGGAGAGAGGGGAAAGGAAACGTGGAAGGAAGGGGAGGGGAGGAAATTACCAAAAATAATTTTCAAAGAAAACATTTAAACCAAGCATGGTGGTACTTATAGGACTATAATCTCAGCTACTGGATAGGCTGAGGCAGGAAAATCACTTGAGCCCAGGAGGTCAACAATAGCCCAGGCAACACAGTAAGACCCTGCCTCAAAACAAAACAAAAACCTAAACAGATGAAGAGCTATACCATATTCATGATTAAGATTCATGACAACTATTAATGAATGGATAAAGACAGTGCAGTATGTATATTCAATGGAATACTACTTAGCCTTAAAACAAATGCTGTCACAATTTGTGATAACATAAGTGGGTCTAGACGAATCATCATCACAGCAGGTGTGTGATGCACGCCTGTAATCCCAGCATTCTGGGAGGCTGAGGCAGGAAGATTGCAAGTTCAAGCCCAGATCGCACAATTTAGAACTTAGTGAGACTGTGTCTCTTTTCTTTTTTTTTTGGTACCGGGGATCGAACTTGGGTCCTTGCACTTGCACAGCAGGCAGTGAAATCACTGAGCTAAATCCCCGGCGAGACTGTGTCTCAAAATAAAAAATATTTTAAAGGCTGAGGATTTAGCTTAGCTTGGTGTGAAGACCCTGGGTTCAATCCCCACCACACACACAAAAAAAATTCATAAAGATATCAGTTTCCATTATTTAATCTACAAATGTAATGTCGTCATCAAAATCCCAACAGTTTCTCATGACACTTTGAATGAAAAGAAGTACTATGTTGAGTAAAAGGCAGTAACAGCTAAGATCACTTTGAAGGAAATGGTATGAAGACTAGAAGATGTATGGTCCAGACATCAAATGATGTGATAGTGTTGACAGGTATTAAGACACAATATTGGCTGGGTGTGGTGGTGCACAACTGCAATCCCAGCACTTGGGAGGCTGAAGCAGAAAAATCATGAGCTTAAGGCCAGCCTGGACTACACAGCAAGACCTTATCAAGAAAGAAAGAGAAAAAGAAAGAGAGAGAGAGAGAGACAGCGGGAGAGAAAACTAAGGCAAATATAAAAATTAATGTCACTCGAGAAAATGGAGAGCCCAAAATAAACCAATGCATACAGTAAAACTTGGCCTCCTGAGCTCGGTGCAGTGGCACACAAGTGTAGTCAGATGGCTGAAACAGGAGGATTGCCTGAGCCCAGGAGTCCCAGGCCAGCTGTGTTTCTTAAGAAGAAAAGAAGGAAAAAGGAAAATTTGGTCTCCATAGCTACCTTTCTGTTAGCTATCTTCTGTCTCAACAAGAGCATTTTAACTGTTTTTACCTATGCTCAACGGATGCACCTGCGTATAATCTACTTACGTATCATCACCATCAGATGCTGGTTCCAGCAGTTCCTCATCTACTTCAATGCAAGGAGCTATTTCTACCTTCCCCACATCTTCTTCTCTAGGAAGCCATTGCTTTAATGTTCTTACTGTTAAAGAAATGAAAGTGAGAGTGAAGCAGCCCAGCTTATACACTTGATGAGCAGTATGTACCAAAACTCCTGAGGAACTGTAACTTTAGAAAGGGAAATCTGGCCATCATCTTAGTACAGTAAAACCTTGGATTAAGAGTAACCTGTGTGTTCCGCAAGACAAACAAACATCTCTAATAAATTTTAACTTGATAAACCAGAGATGTTATGCAATATGAGTAGTATGTGATTCAAATGTCACATGATCACAACTGAGCCAATGGTTCTCTTGCTTCAGTATTATGAGTGATCATCTCCCATCAGCAAGACGTTATGGAGATCTCCTCTGCAAAGGAAGAGAAGAAAAAGGTGGAAAAATCCATCGCTTCAAATGAGATGAGGGAGATTTGTAAAATGTGGGAAACAGTGCAAATTTTTATATATAAAAAAAGCACTACTCAAGTAAGGTTGTAGCAGTGAGAATGATAAATCTACTCAATGATAATCCAATGTCACATTTCCACAAAATCCTCAAAAGGAGGCAAAAGTGTCATTGGATAGGTTCCTTGATAAAGTTGCACAAAAAGAAAGATTTAATTGAACCAATAGGTAACAGTGATTTCATTAGTGATAATGAAAGTCATCCTCCTCTCTTGTCTTCCTCACACCAGCCACAAAGGTTTTCAAATGTAACTGCAGGTTAATTTGGGGCTTTTTCTCTATATTTTATATTTTCTTTATTAGTTTGTATTATATCACAGTATTGTAATCATTTTTATATGAATATTTTGGGTTGTAGAACAAATCATCTGAGTTTCCACTGTATCTTATGGGGAAATTTCCTTTGATACATAAATGCTTTGGATTATAAGCATGTTTCCAGAACACAAACCAAGGTTTTACTATATAGTAAATATTCCACTGACTAGCTGTCAGAAATAAACTGACTCTCTGATTCTCTCAGGGAGAGCTAAGTAACTAAATTTCTAGATAATGATCTACAAAGTCACCAGTCCTTTTCAGCAGTTGTCAATTGGTAATGTCAAAGAAAATGATGCCACTGACCTTGGAAGTTCACGTTATTTGTTAATGGCATTTGGAACAGGCTTAGACAAAGCAAATCAAGTTCTGAAAAGCTTATACACCTTCCCAAGTTTATCTCCAGGCTGAAGGTATTCCTACCCCTTTTCTGCATTCACAAATCTTTGACAAAATTCCTCAGGGGACTGAGGATTACAGGCATGTTAAAAATAAACTACATACCAGGTTCTCCTTCACTGGCAGAAAATGAGCTACTTGTTAGATCTGCTGCTGCCAAAACATTCAATAAGGTTCCTGGCACTTCATGCTGCCACTGCTTCCTACTTTCTGGAATACTTTCCATCACAATAACTTGGCCATCTGCAGAGGAAACTGTGTTAACAAAAACAAGAATGCTACTTCAATTGAGTTTTTATAATCCAGTATTACACCTTGGAGATAATCCCACTTCTAATTTTATTAATGGAGAAACTGAAGTATAGAATGTTTTGGTGACGTACTGTCACACAGCTGATGAGAAGAGTCGTGTTTTGCCTTTGTACTGGCTTTTTTGTTGTGGTAAAAGTTCTATTCTATTTCCTCACGTTGGCTTTCTACTCGCTTGTTAAAGTTTAGATCTAAAATGTCTCCAGAAATCTTATGTGTTCAGAGGTGGAGCTTACACATGGGGTCGTTGATGGATGCAGCAGATGCAGCCGTTGATGAGTTCATAACTGAACGTGCAGTCAGGAGGCAGGGCCTGGTTGGAGGTGTGTCAGTGGGAGTATGATCTGAAAGGGTATATTCTTGCCCCTAACTCTCTTCCTGCTTCCTGGCTGCCAGGGGTGAGCAGCTTTCTTCTGCCATGCCTTTCCATCCCATCATTTCTTTTTTTAAAAGTTTATTGAATAATGCAATACAAGAAGCCAAGGTTGTAATGTATCTATACACTACAACCACTTCTCTTACTACAAATGGCCAAAATAGCATCCATAATTACTGTCTATTTAATCCCGGGGCTTTGCCAATTTGATTCTGCTGCCATAGTTCCCATTTTGTCAAGAAATGTAAACTACTTGGTATGATTCATAATTTTTAAAAAACATATAAAATTCCTAAATTTTTGTCATCAAAATATGAGCAGCCTGGGGCTGAGATTCTGGGCAGAGATTTCTCATGAGCACCAAGGGGTGCCAGTTCCATCATACCATTTCTGCTTCAAGCCAATCAACCATGGTCTGAACCTCCTGCAACTATGAGCCAAATTAACCTCTTCTCCTTTAGGTTGAGGGTATTGGGTATTTTGTCACAGTGACAGAAAAATGACTATTACACTGTACTTGTCTTATTGAATTGTAAATCAATTTACAAACTTGTAATTATGAATTTTAGTGATACTTCAGTGGTCGAACTCAATTCGCTCCAAATAAGTATTTGAACAATGAAAAGTTGAAGAACTGAACATATTTTTCCCATAAGAGATAGTGGAAAACCAAATAATTGGTTCCAAGGCCCAAAAATTATACTTATAAAATCATTTTCCAGGACTTTAACAAATTTCACAATGATTTTTTTCTTTAGTTCTATCATGATTCTCAGTTTTCCTCAGCTTTACTGCTGCTATTACTAAATTTCTTTGGAGCCATGGTTACAACATTGTATGCAAATGAAGTTCAAAAAAAAGCACAATGATGAATGTTTTAACCCACTAACACAAGCATTATGTGTTGTCTAGGTGAGAGTGGACGTTAGACTGCAGGGTCACCCCTTTGTGCCTGCAGCAAGACATGGTGCGTGACTTACTCTCACCCCATATAGGTTTTTTAAAGTTGGATTTTCAGTTTGATTATCAAACAAAGTTATGAACAGCAAGCAGATTTTTTTTGAACTTTGCTGTTCAAGCAGTGGAAATTTTGAGCTTAGAGCTATTTGACAGCTGAAGCATCATTGTTTATTCATCCCTTAGTATTCAAGGAAGATTGGTCCCAGGACTCTGTGTATACCAAAATCTGTAGATGCTCAAGGCCTTTATATATAATAGTGTAGAATTTTCAGATACTCTATGAACATCCTCCCATATACTTTAAATTATCTAAAGATGACTTATAATACCTAATACAATACACATGCTAGGTAAATAGCTGTTATACTATATTGTTGAAGGACAAGTGACAAGAAGAAAAGGCTGTACATGTTCTGTGCAGATGAAGGGCTTTCTTTCAAATGTTTTCCTTCCATGGTTGGTTGAATCTGAGGACATGGAGAGCTGACTGTATTTACATATTTCAACTGATAGCACAGATACAAACTTTAGCTCTCGTCCCTCTGCCATGTACTCAAGAGGAACATGGGAAATAAGTAATAAAAACCTTCACATCCTATGAAGATAATGCCTAGAGGTTGCTATGACCTTCTTCTAAGGCAATGTCATGTCAGAGCTTCAAATAAAAACACAGAAATTCAGGTTGAAAAATATTATGCTCTAAACACTCTGAATTTTTTACTAGCACCTTGGCTTACATAGCAATTTTATGTGTATTTCTTTACTGCTGAATCTGCAAATCTTGTAGGGATAGCTGTTCTTTTAATTCCAGTTTTATTGGTGAGAAGAATAGCCTTCCACAGAGTTGCAAAGAAGTTACTGAGCTGGCGCTGGAGGGCAAATTAAACAACTGCCCTTCCTTGTACCTTCTCCCTCACTTCCAGGAGGCAGGTAGCCTGGATTCTTCCTCCTTTACTTCCTCATAGCTAGGGTGGCCAACTGTCTAGGACAATTAGCAGGTAAGTCTCTCTGGGGGTGGAAGAGAAACCAAAACAATGTCTTCTGATTTTGTTTGGTACAACCAGGGATAATACTGAGTAAGGGGAACAATCCCAAAAGGATGAGCAGTAGCAACACAGCTGTTTTGAGGCTCTTGTCCTCCCTTGTTACCAGCTTTTGCTAACTGGTCAGAGGCTCACCGTCAGGACCAGTAGGGCAGGTGGAAGTGACATCAGCTGCTGCCATCATTTGCAGCAGAGTCCGAGGTGCGCTGGCATCCCACTGCTTCCTGTTTTCTGCAGCTACAGCATCCTGAGTGAAAAGCTCTGGGTATAAGAAATAAGTTCTTAGTTCAAAAGCACCCACAGTGTGACTCACTGCACCAAACAGACCAGCAGCTGGTATGTGCAAAACCCAGAAACTGCCACCCTCCTTCTAACAGAAACGGGAAGTAATTACAAGCAGGTTTAGAACTGCTTGCTTTTTATTATTAACATCTGATTGACTAGTCAGTTTAAGTGCTAAGGAAATATTGGATACTTTCACTGGGGCACATATGAGAGCTCTAACTTCATTCAGTTTCCACAGAATGCAATGTATTCCATTTTCTTAATTCAAAAAATGTCATAATAGCTTTTTCTTTATTACTGCTCTTCTATAGACTATTTGGAAAATCAGATAAGTAGAAGAAAATAAAAATTACCCATAATCTCATTGTCCAGAGGCCACTGAAATTTCAAGAATTTCTTCTTTCATAGTTTTTATAGTTTTAATATAAAAATTGAGCCCCATACAACATACCTTCTCATTACTTTCTTTTTCCAATCAGCTACAAATGTTACTCAGGTTATTAAATATTCTTCTATACTATCATTTTAAAGCAAATGTGGTATTCTGTTTTGTGAATATATTATAATTTAATTCTTTTTGCTGGCTTTTAGGGTGCTAGCAATTTTTCACTGTTATAAAAAATACTATAATGACTGATTATTTACCCTACATAAACTATTAAAAATGACAATTCTAGATACTAGTATTATTTGCTTTACCAAGGCTTTTATTAATGTTGAATCTATTACTAATTGATTCTGTGATTTTTTTGTATGTATTCTGAATAGCTATTTCTTCCCCTTCCCCAATGATTACCTGTTTTCTTTTTCTTCATCTTTTCAAAAAAATTTTTATTGGTATATGCTTATGATACACAATAATTATATTTATCTTGGGGACTTGGGACATACACATACATATTGCATCTTAGTCACCTTTACCTCCCCTTCTCCCCCCAGCCCCTCTCCTCTCCCCATATCCTCAGATCCCCTTCCCATATGCACAAAGTCTACCTCCCTGTTTTCTATCATCTCTTCTTCTTACACTGCCCTGGCTCCCACACTGGTCTTTTCCACCTGGATGAGGCCCTGACTTCAGTATTGCCCCCCTGCAGCTAGCAGATCCTTCTCAGTCATAAATACCACTCACCCACCACCCTTTGAATGAAAAACATCCCCCACACAGGCTAATCTCAGGGTCCATGGCGTGCCAAGTCCTGAAGGGTGGGGACCTCCCTGACTCTGCAGCAAGCTGGCCTAGGACATGCGTGTGCCCCTTTCCCCTTGCTCATCAGTCTTGTGATGCTGAGGGCAGTGCCCAGGTTTCTTCCAACTTCAAGCTTCCTGTCATGAGAACAGTTTATGGTACAGGATCTTTGATGAGACCCCTGCTGAATTAAGATATTTCCAGATGGACATGAGGCAAACGATATTCTAGAAAGGGAAAACTGAGTCAAGCCAGGTGTGAAAATGCTCACATGGCTCGAAGAGAAGATGGGTTCTCCAACAGGCTGTATGAATCCCATCATTGGTGAAAGGAAAGAGGATGCTGGTGGGAAAGATGGGTTACAGCAGGATCAGGCCACGCAGTGTTCAGTGATACTGTGTGGGATGGATTTTATTCTATAGGCATTGTCTCCCCCCTAAAAAAAAATTCTGAGGAGGATAATACGATGAATCTGGCAATCAGGTTGAGAATAAAGGGGAACACGAGAGAAAAGCACAACATGAAAGAGAATAAGGCAATACAGTGAGGGGAAGTCCAGCAAACAGCACGCATCATTTCTCACTTTTGTCCTCATCATAACAATGTCTGGCTGTTACCACTGCTGTTATTCCCAATTCCTAAGAGGAAACTCAGAGTCAGAGCATGGGCTTAACTTGTGAGATTCCCAGGACCAGAAAGTGCAGCACCAGCCAAACTCCCACGTCCCCAGAGCCCCACCCAATCTCAGCCTCGCCAGCTGCAGACGGGGCCTGGCTGAGCCCTGAACTCTGGGAATGAAGGAGGAGGAAAGAGTCCAGAGCCCTCTCGGCAGAAGCTGTCACTCTGGTGACGGTACTGACCAAAATAAAGGGTCACTGGATCTCTGGGAAGGGAGAGCGCAGAGGTTAGATTCTACACGTGCTGAGTATGATGTGTGTGGAACCTGTCCAAGGAGCTTTCCAGCAGGTGGTGAGAAAGCCTGGCAAGGGCAGGGCTCCTGGGAGAAGCCCAAGCTGCAGGAGTTTTGGGGGAAAGTCCCAGGGTGGGTGCCCGAGCGGAGCCGGGCTGACTGGAGAATAAGATGGACTGGGAATTAAATGATTTCCTCTCATCCCCAGCCTCCATGGACACGTACCTGCTTCTGGGCCACAGAGTTTTTCAAAGGCTTTGTCTAGGTCATCTTCATGGTCCTTTAGACAGTCATATCCCTTAAACTTTATGCTGTCCTCAAAGGTCAAAGTTTCATTTAGTATGTCCATTGTCTAAAGCAATTCCATAGTATTTCATGAGAAGCCATATTTGGGAGAGAGGGTTAAAAAAATGTTATGTGTTCCCAGTAATACTAATTAACAAGATGTACAGTAAGTATTCAATATGTGTTTATTAAACAAATCTGTGGTTTTAGAAGTGGAGCAATGTTGAGCGGGGGATTTTGCACAGCAGTACAAGTGCCTGCCTCACAAGTGTGAGGTCCTGAGTTCAGTCCCCGGTGCCAAGAAAAGAAAAGAAATGGAGCAATGGTGAATAAGATTGGACCAGCAATGTTTTCATTTCTTCCCCTCGTCAATAGTATAAAAAGTACTGGTCACAGGACAACATGGGGGGCTCGGTGTTGAGACAGGGTCTTCCATTAGTTGCCCAAGCTAGCATCAAAATCCTGATTCTCCTTCCTTGGCCGCCTGAGGAGCTGGGATTATAGGCATGTGCCACCAGCCGAGGTAACTCAATTTTATCTAGACTTTCAACCCTTCAATATTATTCTACTTCAGTTCCATCCTGCAGAATTCTCAAAGTGTTCTCATCCATGTCCTATGCTCAGTATATAACATAACATTCTGGTTTGGGGGGCATTTTGGTTTTTGAGATGAGGTGGGGGGGTCTCACTATGTTTCCCAGACTAATGTCAAATGCCTGGGCTCAAGCAATCCTCCTGCCTCAGCCTCTTGAGCATTAGGACTATAGGCATACAACCACACCCAACTTTCTAATATTCTTGACTAGATCCATAATACTGCTCCTAGAACCTCATAATCAATAATAAAATGTTGGCAGAATAAGAAAGGATGAACGTCCTGGCAGGTAAAGCTTTTTGGAATCCTTTCTTTCCAACAAGTCAGCCTCAGCACCTGACATCACAGAAGCCCTGTGACATAGCACTTCCAAGATCTGCTCGTTCTGATCTTAAACCCCACAGCTCTGAGGCATGTAGATGCCTAGTGGATGAATAGGAGTAAGCACTAAATCACACTCTAATTAAATTATTTATATTATTATTTTTATCAGTAGTAGTAGTAGTGCTAGAAATAGAACCTAGGGCCTCATGCATGCTACACAAGCACACTACCACTGAGCTCTGCCCCAGCCCTCTAGCCAAGTCTTTATGTAACAAAATGCTTGTAAAATTATGAAATTATGACACAAAAAGCTTTTGGGGTTTTTTTTTGAGGGGGAGGTTGAGTGGTAGGAGATAAATCTAGACCCTTGTACATGCTAAGCATGTGCTCTACCACTGAGCTACACCCCCAGCTCCAAATAAATTTTAAAACTATTTTGTGTATGTGGTACTGGAAATTGAACCCAGGACCTTCATAGAACTACATCCCCAGACCCTTTTTCTTTTTTTTCTTTTGGTACTGGGGATCAAACTCGGGTCCTTCTGCTTTCGAGGCAGGCGGCAGAACCACTGAGCTAGATCCCTGGCCCACTATTTTTTTTTTTTTTTTTTGGTACTGGGGATCGAATTTGGGTCCTTGCGCTTGCACAGCAGGCAGCAAAACCACTGAGCTAAAGCCCCGGCCCTTCCAGACTCTATTTTTACTTTTACTTTTGAGAGAGGGTTGCACAAAGTTGCTAGGCTGCCCCGGCTGGAATCCTCCTGCCTCAGCCTCCGAGAGTACTGTGATTACAGATGTATGCCATCATGCCGGCTTCAGTTAAGTTTTAAAATAATAGAGAAAATAAAAGAGCTAGGGATTAGTGGTAGATCACTTGCCTAACATGTCATGTAGAAGGATCAATCACAGAGAGAGAACATAGAATAAATTAAGTATCAGGTATGATTATTCATATTTAACTTTTAGTAATCTAAAAAGTGGAGTCAGAGAAGATACAATAGAAAAACAAACCAGGTACCAGTTATATTTTACATTTGTTAGCAGGACTGATAAAGAATGAGATTAAAAAAAGATGCTGAAGGGCCGGGGATTTAGCTCAGTGGTTTCGCTGCCTGCTGTGCAAGTGCAAGGACCCGAGTTCAATCCCTGGTACCAAAAAAAAAAGGATGCTGAACTCAAGTAAGAAAATGAGATTTGGATTTCCCACACATGTGCATTTATCACTGCACAAGGAGAATCCAGGTGTGCAACTGAGATTATACCCACAGACATGCACAGAGCTATCAGTAATTCATCAAGATCTGAAATAAATGTGCACAGTTTCAGGTACCTGAACATTTTTTTAAGGTCTGAAAATTAGTTGTTGACTATGCATCATATTTGTGCAATGATAAAAGGTAAATATTATGAGGAACATAATTCCTTTATAAAAGAAAAATAAAATGGAATAATCCACCTAAGAAAATAATCTGAATTTCCTTTTAAAAGGAAGATGAAGCCGGGGATTTAGCTCAGTGGTTCTGGCACCTGCCTTGCAAGTGCAAGGTCCCAAGTTCAATCCCCGGTACCAAAAAAAAAAAAAGGAAGATGGAGTAGGATAGCGGTACACACCCATGACCTCAGTACTTGGGAGGCTGAAGCAGGAGGATAGTCATGAGTTCAAGGTCAACCTGAACTACATAGTAAGATCCTGTCTCAAACAACAAACAAAAAAGGCAGGGGGGAGATAAAAAGAAAAAGTATTTGAAGACTCATTTGAATACCAGAGACTTTTCTAAGAATACTTGTGAAAATTCTCCCTACAGTCCATAGATCAATTTCATGAAGTTTAATATACACTCTTTTCTCTTAAAAATGGATGTGCACCCTTAATGACATACCTCTTCTTCTTGGACAGTGTTTCCATCAGATATACATTCATCTAAATTAATTTCGAACTTTACCCCTCTCTAGAAGAAAGCAAGAAAAGCATTTTAGTTTAGCAACTCAATAAGAACCTTAAAATTTATTTTGATATTACATAGACTCAAAGTTTAACATCACAAATAGGGCTATTGGCTATTCCATAAAATAGGAAAATCATGTAGGAAAGCCAGATTGCAAGGTGTGGTCCTCCAACCTGCTTTCTAACATGGAACCAAAAGACAAAAATGTTTACCTTAGCTTTATATTTCTTTTCTGGAATTTTACTTTCCTTTATGTTCTCAAGCCTAATATTTTTCAAGTCTCTTTCAATGTCCTAAGAGTTCAGAGAAAAATACAATTCTATCACTTAATATTGAGCAATTATATTTTTGAGCAATTATATTTTGAATTCATAGCACTGTGTGTTGTTACATGATTGCTAGATTTAATCTGATGATTGATTTTAGCATAAAAATATGCTTTTGTAAAGGAAAGTTAATAACAATTCATTAAAAACTTAGGCGCAGTACTCATCAACTTAAAATATTCATGCATGGCATTTCAGTGGTTAAAAGTTCTGTAATGTGGCAATGATGATCATTTCAGTACAGTCCAATCCAAACCATCTCAACTCAAGAACGTAACTTTTCAAGCCAGGCAAGGTGGTGCACACCTGTAATCCCAGCACTCGGGAGGCTGAGGCAGGAGAATCACCATGAGTTTGACACCACCCTGGGCTCCACAGTGAGCTCAAGGCCAGTCTGAACTACATGGTGAAACCCTGTCATAAGAAAAAAACCACAACCAGAAAGAAAGAAGAAAGAAAGGAGGGAGGGAGAGAGAGAGAAAGAAGGAGAAGGAAAGAAAAGGAAAACCTTTTTCAGTGCTATGAATCAAGCTCATGGCTTTGGACATGGCAGACAAGTGCTCTACCACAGGGTTGTATTCCTAGCCCAAGAATGTAAGTTTGCAATTTTTTTTTTCCAGATACTAGGGACTTTCGATCCCTGGTAATGAAATAAATTTAGAAATTTTTAAAAAGGCAAGAAGCTATGCATCTATATAGACTCCAGATACTAGGGACTGAGCCCTGAACTTCACAGTAAGTTACATTCCCAGCCCCCAAATTTTTCTCCCCAACTTTTTTTGTTTGCTTTTGAGACAGGGTCTTGCTAAGGCACTAAATGCTCAGGCTGGGCTTGAACTTGCAATTCTACTGCTTCAGCCTCCCATAGTGTGGATAAATGCCATTTTTATGTAATGGGTCTTCAATGTGTATCTTCAGGCTTCACCTTCCTTCTCTTCTGAGTTTTAGACTCACACATCCTGCCTATTTAGCACCATCCTCAGTTTGTTTTTTTTTTCTTCTTTGCATTACTGAGGGTTGAATGCAAGGCCATGCACATGCTAGGCAAATACTCTAGCACTGAACTACATCCCCAGCCCCTCATTATTTTTTATTTATTTGACATTTTGAGATAGGGTCTTGCTAAGCTGCACAGGTTGGGCTGACACTATGGCTTTAGCACAGTAAGCATGGCCGAAAACCCCTGCTGACATGGAGCTTGCATTTCACTAGAGCAAGTTAATAAATTCATGATATCATTTAAGAAAGAATTATTAAGTGTTATAAAGAAAATAGGGCCAGGCAGGGTGGTGCATGCCTGTAATCCCAGAACTCGGGAGTCTGAGACAGGAGGATCGCCATGAGTTTGAAGCCAGCCTAGGCTCCATAGTGAATTCAAGGCCAGTCTGAACTACATCGTGAGAACTTGTGTCAGAAATAGAGAGAGAGAGAGAGAGAGAGAGAGAGAGAGAGAGAATAGGGTAATAGGATGGAAAATGAGGAGAGGGTGATGCTAATGCAGGCAAAACTATTTGATGCTGATTTAAGACTTGGAGGGCCGGTAATTTAGCTCAGTTTTTCCGCCGCCTGCCTCACAAGCACAAGGTCCCGAATTCGATGCCCGGTACCAAAAGAAAAAAAAAAACCAAAAACAAACAAAAAAAGACTTGGAGATTTTGGGCCTCAGCAGTGAGAGGTCTGAGAAAGCTTCTTCCATGCACAGGGAGGAGCAGGGCAAAGGCCTGAAGCAGGAATGTAATCTCTCAGATCTCCTCCAACCCCACATGTCCGGAATGGAACTTTGACTGCTCCCAGCTGTTATGGCTTGTGTCTAGATGTTCCCCCAAAGCCTCATGCAGTCTTTTTCTTTTTCTTTTTCATACAGTCTTTTTTGAAGATGGCTGAATATGGAATGTGTGATGCTGGGATTAAAGGCCTGTGATTACTAAACCACTGAGTGATTGATTTGGCACCACGCTAATCTCCTTGTAGTCTGGATGGGATAAAAGGGGCAGAAAGATGCTGTTAAGGTCTCTTGTTGCTTTTGCTGTCTTTTGCTACCTTGTGCCTCTCTGCCACCCTGCCAGCTGATTATGGAACCTCTACAAACTGTGAGCCAAATAAACCCCTTTCCTCTTTAACTTTGGGTGTTGGGTATTTTGTCTCAGCAATGAGAGAAAAGTAACTAACACACCAGCCTCACAAGAAGTGGGTACTACAGACTTCTGCTTCCAGACAAGACAGAGTACCAGGGGCCAAAGTTACTCCCCGACCTGACACAGCCACATCCAGCATAAAAGCAATGGCATTTAATTCATTAGACAGCCAGAATGAAAAATGAGGAGTCCCTGAAAAAGAGGAAACAAGTGAGATGAATCCTGTAAGTGGCCCAGCCTCTGCTTCCAGAGAGTGTACAGGCCTCAGTGTAGGGATAGGGAGCCCGAACACTGGCTGACCCCTGAGTTAAGAAGACAAAGCAGAGAACCAAAGGATGGTATGGCGTATAGAGTTTGAAGGACACAGCCCCAGGAAGGACAAGCTGTACAAGACAGAGCAGCTCTCCTGCATGCTGGTGGGAATGTGGCACAGTATAGCCACTTTGCAAACCTATCTGGCAGCTTCTTGAATAGTTAAATATATCAGCCAGGTGCTATTTGAGAGGTTGAGGAAGAAGATTCCAAGTTTGAGGCCAGACTGGGCGATTTAGCAAGATCCTATGTCAAATAAAATAAAAATAGATGGGGTAGCGCACTTGCCTAGCATGTGTGAGAACTTGGGTTCAAAAACCAGGGGACAAAAAGGAGAGAGAGCAGGTACAGTATGATCCTATTTACATACTGCCACTAACAGAAAATGCAAACTAATCTAATGATGGAAAGCAGATGTGTGATTGCTTAGGGGGTGATGTGGGAGGAGCAGCAGAAGAAACAGGAGAGAAACTGATACTGCAGGGCCTGCGTGTGACTGGTGAGCAGCTGCCATGCCTACCTGCACTGTCGTGTCCCCTGCAGGAGCATCTTGGTCAACAGAGAGGGCATTCTTCTTCACCAGATAGGTCCTGATTTTGGCGCTCTCCTTTAACACAAATTATGCGCAAGCAACAGGATTAGTTCTCCTAGCTTGTAAAGGCTACTTTCTGAGCACCTCTTTGGATTTTCAAGAATCACCTCAACTGCATTCACATTTTGCCTTGTACCATCTTGCATCACTTAACAACAGGGATATGTCCTGAAAAATGAGTCATTAGCTCCCTCAAAGCCTTAAGAGGTCCTAGGTGGGGCTTTTCAGAGGTGGCTAGATCTAGGGTATGGGATCCTGGGATTAAGGATGTGATACTAGGATTGATTCCTGCGATGCTAGGATTAAGGCTGCCCCACCCTGGATGTGAGTGCTACCTACCCTGAGGGTGGGCAGCCTGGATAGGATATAAGGGACAGAAAGAGGGCCTCTGCTTGTTACTTGCTGCTTTGTTTCTTTACTATTTTGCTGCCTTCTGCCCAGCACGGACTGTTTCTCCTCTGCGATGCCCCTCTTCATGCCACCCCACCTTGGAACCAGCGAACTATGAACTGAATCCTGTACAAACTGGGCCAAAATAAACCTTTCCTCTTAATTTTGGGTGTTAGGTATTTTGTTTCAGCAACAAGAAAAGTAAGGCACGTGGATTCTAAAAAGATGGCAAGAAAGAAGAAGGGAGACTTATTAGACAAGAGGAAAGAAATAAGAGGGAGGGGGAAAGGCTGTAAGGGCAGGTAATAGGGGAATAGACATGAGCAAAATATATTATACACATTGAAACCCCCCAAAAGTGAAACTAGCAGGGGAAGGTAGTAAAAGGGGGTGAGGGGGTGAAAATGATCAAAGTATGTTATGGGCATGTATGAATCTGCTTAAAGGAAACCTGTTAACCTGTATAACCAATAAAAAGAGTGAAAAAATTAAAAAATGAGTCATTAGGCAACAGTGTAGGGTGCACTTAGACAAACTGAGATGGCTCTGCTATCACTAAGCCATGTAATCTCATGGAACCATCATCTATGTCATTGACTTAAACATTGTTATGCCACACTTGACTGCATAGACTTTAGAACCTTATCCACCCATGGTTGAATTCAATAAACTCTAGTCATTTTTCCCCGATTTTTTTTTTTTTTTGGTACTAGGGATCGAACTCAGGACCTTACGCTTTCGAGGCAGGTGGCAGAACCACTGAGCTAAATCCCCAGCCCTTCCCCTGATTTTTATAAGCGTTCAGCATAAACTCAGTTTGGACTTTCTGTATCCAATCCAGGTCTGGTTGAAAGTATCTGATCAGTTAATACTTACTGATCATGAAGTAGAGAATCAGTAAGTATTTTTAATGATACCCATTCTTAGCTGGGTGGTGGCAGACACCTATAACCCCAGCACTCTGGGAGACTAGACGGGACACTGCAAATTCAAGCTAAGCCTGGGTAATTAGCAATTTAGCAAGACCTTGCTTTAAAATAAAAAATAAAAAGGGCCAGGGATGGAGCTTGGTGCAGAGGCCCTGGGCTTAATCCCTCTTAGCACATGCATACACACACACACACACACACACACACACACACACACACACACCATTTCTAACTGAGATTCTCAGATATCCTAATCATCTTGTGTAATCTCTAGGAAACCATAATAAAGTTAAGCTTTTATGCGGTCTAGTTGCTTTCCTATTACAAAAGAAATTTGCAGTTATTTCTATGATAAAACCTTACTTTTTCCATAAGATCATTACTCTCTTTGTTGGGAGCAGGGATGCTGGGGATTTTGCCCAAGGACATGCTGAGCACACTCTACCAGCCACTCCCAGCCAAGCTACTTATGAAGTCAGCCCTAAGTTGACAAAACAGTGTTTCCTCAGAAAGGTTAAGTTACCTCCAACTCTCTCCCCATCTTCTTCCTAATTTTCTTCATGTCATTGTGGTACTGCTGGCGTATTTCCGCTAACTGTTTCCAATATTCCTGAAAAGCAAATCCAATCCAAAACCTTTAAATGCTTGCAGACAGCTTAATAAAAATAATCTCTCTATAGCCTATAATTTTTATAACATGCAATATAAAACAAACATCTCAAAGACGACTGTGTGCTTGCTCTTGGCCATGATTCTTCACACAGTGGGATACACTGGCTGAGATACAGCTCTCAGGCTCACATATAACCCCAATGTGATAACAAGGTACAGTTACTTTAAATGTCCCACTTCAACCTAAAAATTCTGAACAACCCAATATCAACCAATGAAATTGAAAATGTAATTAAAAACTTATCACCTAAGAAAAGCCCGGGCCCTGATGCTTCACTGCTGAATTCTACAAGACATTTAGAGAGGAACTGCTGCCACTACTGTTTAAACTCTTCAATGAAATTGAA